GTTTAGCCAATCACAACACACTGGGCCAGCTAATCAATCAGAGCCCATCGTGTATTTCTGAGGGCGGGGCTTCATAAAAGCAGGAAATGATCAGCGCGTTCAGAGGAGAAGGGACAGAGCGGTGTGGAACAAAGGTAAATTATGTGAAAAATAATGCGTTTTTTAACAAACGAAGTTATGTTAGACTGCACCCCATAAAACACAATCAAGCCTATAAAAAAAAACAGTCAACCACCCCTTTAATTTTTTTTGAAAGAAACTAATATTTTTATTCATCAAGGATGCATTAATTTGATCAAAACTGACAGAAAAGACATTTATTGTTTTTATGCACTAAATATTAGCATATCAGAATGATTTCTGAAGGATCATGTGACACTGAAGACTGGAGTAATGATGCTGAAAATTCAGCTTTGCATCACAGGAATAAATTACAATTAAAAAAATATTCAAATAGAAAACAGTTATTTTAAATTGTAATAATATTTCACAATATTTCAGTTTTTACTTTATTTTTAATCAAATGAATGCAGCCTTGATGAGCAAAAGAGACTTCTTTTAAAAACATTAAAAAAATAAATCTTACTGACCCCAAACTTTTGAACAGTAGTGTATACACACTAGTAATACATTATTTTCTTACCACAGAAGAAGGTTGGGGATGACTTGAGTGTACACAAATGACTGAATATTCTTTTTGGCTGCATATGAACTCAGTTGAGGAATAATCCTATGCCATTCCAGCAGCCATTGATTGGCCGTATAATGTCTTAGCGGTTACTTTAGTTTAGTTTAGCCGGTGTGTTAAGCTAGAGTTTAGAGCAACGTCTGTTTGAGGCATTTGGAGGAGCAGATGGTGTAACAGTCAGGCCGAATGGTGTATATTTCTTTAAATCCTGAGCAGCTAGAGCCAGTTAATCATTCTGTCTGACAGAACGAACAGCAGAGCGGGAACAGAGACGTCATAAAAGACAGACGAGGAGAGAAAGTCCAAAACACACCTGAGACTCTCTTAGTGGCCAGACCTGATTGAAACATCAATAACACCATCATTAAACAAAGCAGTTATTGATGGGACTGATTGATGTGTTTGTTCTGGTTCAATCGTCTTAAACTACCATTCAAAAGTTGGGATTTTTAAATAAAGTAATACTTTTATTCAGCAAGGACCTTTTAAAACGATCAAACGTATGAATAGCAGCATATTTTAAGTCATAACCAAGTTTTTCTGTTGAAATCTGGTTACAGAAGAGTATAACCGCCATAAACCAGCCTGGACTATATGCTGGTCTAAGCTGGTGTTTTTGACAGCAGTTGGTGAAATAACTGCAGTGACTGAAATCAGAAGAAGTTTCTCCATTTACTCCTGTCATCTCTACACCGATTTTCCTCATTCCACGTCTATCTTCCTCATCTCGCCTGGGCACTTCCTGTCAGTCCTATAGCCATTCTTTTCTTTTTGTACAAGGCTTCCTTTGTTTCCTACAGAACTTTTTCTCTCTGCACTCTCTACCTCAAATTATGTTCCCTTCCTAGTGTGTTTTTTTCTCTCTCTTTCTGTTCCTCTTTTCAGTCCACATCTCCTGCTTTAGCATAGCTGCGCGCTGACAGACAAGATCAGGATGCAGGGATCACTGGGATAAATCTTCTTTCTTTAAAGGGGTCATATGATGCGATTTCAAGTTTTCCTTTCTCTTTGGAGTGTTACAAGCTGACTGTGCATAGATAAGATCCCTGAAGTTGCAAAGACTAAAGTCTCAAAACCAAAGAGATATTCTTTATCAAAGTTAAGACTCTGCCACGCCCCCCTAAAACGGCTCATTCTAACACGCCTGTACTGCAAACACA